GTGCTCCTATCTCTCGCGGAATGCAAGCAATGACGATAAAGGCTCGCCGTACTAGCGAGTGCTCTACAAAACGACATTATAATATAATTCACAAACCTTATTAATTCAAACCCTTTTCCGGGTTTATGCATTAACTATTATTGTAACAAATTATTGCCTAAATTAAAACGCAAGTTAACATTTAAATATACTAATTTTGGTGAGTGAATACTTATGCAATTACTGTATCTGGTTTAGACGACGGATCACTAACCCCCTAATCCCCAGTAAACCCGGTGAACGCAGGGTGACTGAAAACTAGGGAAAGATTTGAATTTACAAGATTTAATAATTACATTGATTTATCCAGTTACGAAGTCTCGGTCGATAATGATCTAGATTACCCAGACGTAACACCTGAAATCACCCTTATCTGAACCTGAATAGATATACTAATAGGGCGCCCCTGATAAAAATTGCCTGATGTAATCCTATATCAGGACCTGAACAAACAGTATAAATAGGGTGCGCCTGATAAGGACTAAATAATAATATCATTATCTGAACCTGAATAGGTACTAACCCACACAGCACATGTATAACATATATGAAAGAAAAAAATACCATTGTAAAAGAAGAAGAAAAGAAACACAAAACAACAATAGCAAAGAGTAAAAATAGAAGAAAAGGATAATGCTTAGTACGAGTATCGCGCGTAATGTATTGTTTTACAATACTATTACACAAAAGTTCTGAATATACGGGGATAGGAAAGCTACATTTTAAGTGTAACTATAAGTTATCGTTATTTGTTACAGAGTAAAAAATGTAACTCGTTACCGTTATAGTTACTGATTTTCAAAAGTAACTCGTTATCATTACCGTTACTTAAAAAAAACAATTATTATACATTTTCCGTTATTTTTTAATTCTGAAATGAGATCAGACAAACTACAACATTTACTTTTGCAATATTTTATTACTGACTGTATACAAATATTAATAAAACACTTTTTATTTTAAAATTGTCAAATATACAGTATGAATATCGATTGATACATGACGATTGAAGATGTAACAATAAAAGTAATTGTTAAATTCATTACAGTTACTAAAAGAAATAATTACGTTACCGGCCGTTACAGTTATAAAAAAAGTAACGTCCCAGGGCCCCAGTGTTTTTTCGTAATCCTGTATAAAATATTAAAATAAATTTTATAAATATTTGGAACATATAAATATTGTATGCTGTTTATTATTACATTTGATATATTACAAAAAGTATTAAATCGAAACTCACCAGCATGTTGTGCAACTAAATTATTTCGTATATTTATTATATCCGTTTTTCTATTCGGACTTTCAAAGGTGTTTCCGTTGATAAAACTATGTCAAATTTTAATTTAATATTTTCTAATTTAATTTTTTTGTTAACTTTAAAAGAAAATGTTCTAATTAATGTTGCTAAGATAACTTTTGTACTTATTGCAGCATATTTCATTCCTGCAAATTTGTGAATTCATATATATAACAATTTTACTATATTTTATAATTTGTTTATGCTTACCAATGCAATTCCTTGAACCAACACTAAAAGGAATATAATATTGAGAATGTTTAATATCCTCTCGAAGAAATCTTTCAGGATCAAATTTTAGAGGATTTGGCCAGTATTTATCATTTCGATGAATATGAAAAATTGCAACGATAATATTCGCGCCTTTTAGTATAGTCTTGTCACCTAAAATTTTTATACAGAAAAATTATTATTACAGAAGCTTACTATAATAGCAATAATGTTAAGTAATACAACCAAAATTAATTATACAATTGATATACATATATAATTCACAAAACAATATAGTACGCGGAAAATTAAAATAATATTTATTTTATTATTCTTTATTTAAGTTTTATTAAAATAACATCACTATTCTTGTAAAATATTGATATCAACTACTTTTGTAACATATCTCTAAATCAGAATTTTCTTATTATTTAAAATAAGTAATTCAAATAAGAATGCAAAAAGGAACAAACCTATTTTTATGTCTTTTGTTGCCTTTCGTCCAACTAGAGGTACAATGGGAAAAATTCTCATAGTTTCTTTTATGACACCGTCCAAATAACGCATATATTGTAAGTCCTCGTACATGATTGGCGCATCTATTGTACTTTTAGTTCCATAAATTTCACATAATTCTTCATATACCTTTTCCTTAATGTAAAATAAAGAATTCATTTAAATAAATGTATGCAAAATAATATTTTTATTAATAATGATCGAAAGAACATTGCCCTTGTTAAAACAATTTTCATACACAAATAATATATGTATAAATCTGTGTATAGTTATACATATGTAAAATTACATACCAAATATTTCCATACAAGTTTTTACATATTGTATTTTTATATAAGTCTTTATAATTCTATATTAAAATCTTTATAATTGTATATAATTCTTTGTAATTTTGTATAATTCTATGAATTTATATGAAAAAAATTTTGAAAGGAAAATTTACTAATTTATAATTATATTTAAATATGTTTAACTACGTATACATATACTAACAATACAGGATGAGTAAAAAGTACCGGACCGGTGAAATATCTCGAAAAATGTGGAAGATATACGGAAAAAATCTTCTAGACAAAAGTTGTACGGTTTTAAAAGGGCTATATAATGGTAAAATTAATTTAAAAAAAAAAGTTTTTTATGGTTATATGGAGGCCGCCGTCAGTTTTTAAATTGGAATTCCCTATTGTTTATTATACTATCTTATTCTACTAATTAATATGAACCACTTTTGTCTGAAACATTTTTTGATTTGCCTAATACTTTTTGAGATATTCAAGAGAAAATTTATAACTTTTTCAATGTTTAGTTTATAATATCTCGATAACTGTTTGTTGGAGGGAAAAGTCCCACACAGCAAAAGTTGATCCCAAGTTTGTCCACCGGATATATCTAAAGGGATTTTCAAACATCCCGGGTATATCCGTGAAAATCGGTAGAACATACTAAGGATATACTGAGGACGTCCCTATGTCCGCTTATAAGATCTCGAATCTATACGCGATCCAAACCCGGACATCCTAAGGACATCCTAAAGACGTAATTATATACAATAAAATCGATCCCAACAATATCCACTCGACATCCAATGGATTTCTAAATGCTTTTTAATACTTCCCTCTCCCGCGACGTTGAACTGTGACGTCAGAAGCGAGATTTCATACATGATGAAAATTTTTGTGTTACTGTCAAATAAAAAGATACTTGGATGAAAACATTGTAGTTTTAGTACACTTGTAAAATATGCCAAAAATTATATTTTTTCCTTGACAGTTAATAAACAATAGGTTACTTATCAAAGAAAAAAGATAATTTTTTATGTATTTCATAAGGGTTCTAAAATTGTCTAAAATTTGTTTTTATCCAAATATCTTTTTATTTGACAGTAACACGTAAGAATTTTCATCACACATAATTCTCGCTTCTGACTCTCTCTCTCTCTCTCTCTCTCTCTCTCTCTCTCTCTCTCTCTCTCTCTCT